GAGAAGTAACCTGTCCAAAGGAGGGTTTTCAGAAAAATATAATTAACGCAGAAGAAAATATTCATTTGATGGAGAATTTATATATTCGTATAAGAAAAAAGAAAAATCACCTGTCTCCAGCATTTGCTTAATGCTGACGCTGGAATGCTAGGTGGTGCCATCTGAAGCAAGATACCACCAGTTGTCTTAAAAAGTGGCATGACAAGCATAAAAACAGCAACTGAAACTAGTCCCAAACATAAAACTTCAGCATTCTGAACCCTGGAAAGACACAAAAAGAAATGTATTGTTGATAGGAAGACAAAAAGAAATCATTTTTACACAGACATACAAATGTATTACAAGTGGATTGGTGGTTGTGTAGTAGCAATTCAAATGTGAAAAACGAGTAGCGAATTACCCGAGGGACAAAAACCAGGATGCTAAAATCAAACCTGCACTGCAAAACAAAAGTGTACACCAGCTTAAGATGGGTAATACATGCAAAAACAAACCTATGCATGTTGAGAGAAAGAGAGAATATGACACCTGCGTATGGAATCTGCAAGAACATGCAAGCAAACTGAGTGGTAATTCATATCTTCCGCTTTTCTGTACACTGCAACAAAACATGGACAACAGAAGAATAATCAGGTGGGGAAAGGAATAAAAACTACTTTACAACTCAAACTCAAGCCTAACAGCAGTCAAGTTCATTTAAACTCTTAAGAGTGAACAAAGTTCCAATTCGAAATATACTTCATCAGTTGCTTTAGAAAGGAATCACTTGTTGGCATAGAAGCTAATTCAACCACAGGCCATATTAGAAGTATTATATTGAACATTTATCAAGAAATTAAAAAGATAACTGTTTTTAATTGAGTTCTGATAATATTCTGCCCCTGACTACAACTTTTCAATACCCTGCTCTCAGTAAATTCCAACTTCTAACCAGATTAGTTTTCAGTCAGCCACCCAACCTAGTTATACCAAGCAACATAAGGTCAACTATATGCGATGTAGGACTTATACACTTGAATGCAGAAATTCAAGAAAAACAAAGCTTTAATATTAATCATCAAATCACATTCAAGTCTGAGAACAATTAACCAAGGCCTGCATTTTTGGTCGTTTGTTTTATTAATCTTAGGGAGTTGTTTTATTTCGTATTCAAGTTGTTTAGACTTTTATTTTGAATTTCATAGGATGAGAATTATGTTTTTTAATAGGATTATATTTCTGCTTTTGTTTAGGACTAGAATTTTAAGGCTATAAATAGGCTGTATGTTCATATGGAAAATAGACTTTGATGATTGATTAATGAAGAGTATTGTTTTCCTAGAATCTCTACCAGTTTTCTTCTAAATTTCTCCCTCTTCTTCTATCCATTCTTTCTCTTTCTCTATGTCTTTCTTTTCTATCTATTCTTCCCCCGGTTCTCCATCAGTATGCATTATTAAATTAGCAGATGAGTGCTGATTAATACATAATTGTTCCCATTCAGCACAGAAGAAAGAAGGAATTATGTTCTAACTACGTCACAGATAAGAACTGGTAATTAAACTAAGAAGACCAATACACTGAACTGAGAGTGCTAAAACAATATCACAACACTGAAAAGAGAAAACAGCATCGCCTTTTTTTATTGTAATGTTAATAATACCCAACACTGTGGACCAGTTCTGCATCGGCTAAGTATAACACTTTACTTAACTAAGTCATTCCCTGTAAACTTAACATATAACTAGAGGGTCATACAGATAAATTATCATAACATGTAGGCATTCTCACTAAACTCAGAACTTAAATATAGAACAGTTCTTAAGAAAACTACAAGCTCCATCAGAAGACTTACCAATATTAATACGTGCATAATTCCTGAAGAACCAGACCCCAATAAGATTCACCAATAAATTTGTTACCGCAGAAACAATCAAATAATGTCTGCATGAAGATAATTTCTAGTTAAAATCTTGTCCAACAAGTTTTTTATAAACAAAATGCAAGAACCAAAAATAAGATAAGAATATATAAAGACAAGAGATCCAAAAACTTGGTAGACGATTAATGCATCAACTTCTACACATTCACCAAGTATGTTTGAGCATTATACGCATGACACAAGATGGTGTTCGTCACCAAAACATATTCAAAATGTTATCTTGTTAATCAAATTCAACACAAAAAAACTTACTTGTGCTCAGATTCATCCTGAATGAACGCATGAAGTGCTTCCACAGCTAAGGAGAATGACATGAACAAAAGGAACAGCTGTCTAAACCAGCAGCAAAATAAAAAATATCAAGATATTAGCACAGTTGAAAAAATTCACACAAAATTTTAGATTTAGAACATGAAAGTTCTGTTGTAAAAACAATATTTAGCGACACCAATATCGTGGAAAATGCCATATACTTACAGCATTGGTAAAAGCAGACAAAACTTCAAGCCTTTTGTACCTGATTATGAAAAAACAAATGCAACAATTACAGCTCAATCATGCACATAAGCTATTAGACTTTTGCCACAATATACGCCGTTCAACGCCACCAAAACAGATAGCTAGTAATATAACCAAATTACTTGCATTTTGACAAGTCTGACTTCAATGCTGTAAGTCTATGCTAAACATTACGAGTCAAACTGAGTTACAATTCAACATGATTATCATTATTGCTCGAATTACACGAAACCGAACCGAAACCGAAACAAAGTACTCAAATAACAAGTGTTCCCATACAAAAACAGAGTTTAATCTCAATTCTCACCCATAAGTATACACAAGATCAGGCTTTTGCCTCGAAGCCGCCATGGCAAACATCGAAAACGTCAATATCCCACAACCAAACGTCAAATGAAACGCATCAGACACCAACCCTGAAACAAATTCACAAAAATTTCAACAAATTCAAAATCAAAAAAGAAAATTCAAACAACCCGGATAACCATTCCCAAATTTGAACCGTTTTCATACCAACACGGCCCGTGAAGAGCCCAATAGCCAACTCAGCAGTAGAATACGCAACGTTTAACGAAATCAAAATAAACAATCTCTTCATTGGGCGATTCATGGACCTCAAAGCCCGAAAAATCGAGAATTTATCGGGCTCAGCGAACGATTTATCGTTAAAATAAGAAACCCCAGGTGGGATATCGATGCTTGAACTAGTACGCGAGAGAAAAGGCTTGGTTGATTCGTTATACGAAGCTTGACGTGAAAAGGCTAATCTGCGATCGGTTGTATTGAATCCCAAATCGGATTGCTCCGTGTAATACTTGAAAGAACTGGACTTTTCCATCTGAATCAAAAGCAATGAAGAGAAAGACGAAAGGGTTGTTTTAGAAGGAAAATTTGAGGAGAAATTGAAGAGAAAGGGGGAGTTTTTTTTGTTTGTATTGATGAAGAATGAGGCAAGAAGGCGGCTTTCAAAAGTCTTTTAAGTAAACCAGTGGACTTGTTAATTGTTATTATAATTTCATTTTTTTTCAAATTAAAAAAATAGAAATAAATTAATAGTAAATTTCAATTATTCTTTTTTAGTTGAGTTTTGGGCAAAAATTTAACCACTGTTTGATTCCTGATTTAAAAATAATTTTAAAATTTGAATTTATTTTTAGTTTTTAAATTATATAATGAATATAACTTCTTTTTTTTAATAATTTTGAGATTTTATATTTAATTATTTATATAATATAATACACAGATTAAGTGTTTTTTTAACGTAGAATTCGACATGTTTATATATATAGGGATGAGCCTAAATAAATCACAATTACACACACATATATAGATAGATAGATAGATAGGAGCCTTTTTAAAACCATACAAAAGCAATAGTTAACTGCCCTATTTTTGCCTTTTTAAAAATTTAAATATATGTCCTCATTTTTGTTTTTTAATATTTTTAAAATATTATTACTTTTATGTTGATCTTTATAATTATATATAGGTAAAGGTGTAAGATTTTAGTGTAATTTTTCAACATCATCTAGCATTTGTAAAACACATGGTTATCAAATCGCGTATCGTATCATGTATCGAAAACCTAATTTTTTGAATCGTGTATCGTATCATATCGTAAGATACGTCTTTTTCAAAAAAATTAATAAAATAATCAAAATTTTCTAAAAATTAATATAATTCCCAAGATTAATTAAAGAATTTCGTGGTATTATTGACTTTAAATTACAGTATTACATAATCAAAATTAATCACAAAATTCTAAGATCAATGATAATATCTATATCTCCACTTATATTATTATTATCATGTAAAATAGGCAACACATATTCCTCTTCACTTTCTCTATACAAAATAGGTAAATTTGAATAGGTTTTAGTGAATCGGATTGGGTGACCCGGTTTCGACTCAAATTTTTTTTTGGACATTTGGCCAAAATTAATAAAGTCGTATCGATTTATATCGATATTTTTAAGGATACGGACGAATACGTATCGTATCGTAAGATACATATCAATATATCGAATGGTTTAGGGTACACTCTCTAATACGTATCGTTGACGACCTGTATCGAATCGTATCGTATGATACGTATCAGGTATCGTAGGATACTAACAACCATGATAAAACATCTTTTAGCCCAAAAGATGGGAGAAGGAGATTATTAAAAAATCATTGAAAATGGTTATTTTTATTAAATCCTATGAATAAATTTACCAAAAATCTTTATAGGTGATTGACTTTTGCAATTTTGCCACAAAATATAGTTGTAAAAAGGGGAATTAGGTTTAATTTAAATCCTTAACATGAAACATCATATAATGTAATTGTCATTTTTCAAACCTCAAAGAGATATTATTATTACAACTGAAAATTAGTGACCTCTCCAACCACCGCATTGTGGTTACCAAATCATTTCACATGTTAATCCAACAAGAACAAAATCTTCCAAAACTAACCTAACAATTTCTCAAACAGAGCTAGCTGTTGGCTGTTAGTATAGCAAACGAAAGCTGTCACGAAAAGGGTTCTGTTCAAAACTCTCACTCTTCCTCAAGAAAACAGAGAAATCGCCAAGTCTTGGCGATGTACACTTCATTCTAGCAGGACTTTCTTTCATCTATGGTATCCAGGTTATTGATCAAAGTAACATGAACATGCTTCAACAGAGAGACTGGTTTTGAGGGCTTAGGGAGAAACATACTCAGAACTTGACCGATAGGCTTTCTGCTCCTTCGATTTTCAGGTTTTGAACACAAACAGAATTCTGCAACCAGACATCGGAAATTAATAAAGTACTTTAAGGCCTTGTCAAGTATGGGTAATGCTATGGGTACTAACGGATTTTACTAACCAGTGTACTAACTTAAAGCATAATACAGGTACCATGCGTATAGTACGGGTACTATGTGTGATTTTAACAAAGGTTAGTACACTAGTTAGTAAAATCCATTAGTACCCACAGTATTATTCGTCAAGTATTCTAATGAGGGAGAGGATATAGTTTCATTTATTCAGTTCAGTATCTCTCTTACATACAACGATTCATCTCACATGACATGGCAAGTTAATCACATGTCAGGATAGTAAATGATGATCAAGAGAAAAGGCACACATATCGGAAGCGCTTGAACCCGGCCTACAAGCGAGCATCAGGAGAGAAAAAAACTATGAGAACAAGCATAGAGAGAATTAATGAATAAATATGATAAACAAAACTTAACGAGTCGGGATTTTAGATAAACTATTTGATAATGTTTAAGCTAAAGAGTGAAAATACCTTTTATTGATGGTACCATAGTGAAAACTTAGTTTTCCAGTTCTAATATCATCAATGTACTGCAACCACAGGAGATACAAATTAGTAACATAATGTATATAAGTGATGCAATCGACTAAATGAAGATAAATATTTCATTTCTTAAACCTCTTACCAAATTTAAGGTAACAAAAATTGATGAAAATGCCAGAGAATCAAACGGTATATCATCAAGTGAAAAAAGCTGGCACTCTGATGATTCTGGACCAGGTGCAAAGTGAGGCATCTTCAGCTTTGCTAAGAAAATTATGTAAGTCTGCTTCAACCACGGATTGACAAATACACAAGCATATTAAGCAAGTGCAAAGGAGAACGCAATAAAATTAATTGAAGAATATCTCTTTCTTACTTGGCCAATAAGAGGAATGTCCAGTTGAGCAAAAGGTGACAGAACTTCAACCTCTGCACCTGCCTCTTCCCAGGTTTCCCTAGTTGCCCCCTCGGCAGCTGACTCCCCAATTTCCATGTAACCAGCAGGAAGAGTCCTACATCAACATCAACAATTATGCAAAACCATGTCCAGTGAGAAACAATGATACACAAGGAAAAAAGAAAAAGGCTAGCATCTAAGTTTATAAATGCCTGATTTTAATTTTTTGAGGAATTGACAAAGAAATATATAGGTTGATTCTATTCACAATATAAACTCCAGTATACATACCAAAGACCAAAAGACGGTTCAATATTTCGCTTGCAAAGTAGAACCTTCTTATCATGTTCAATGAGGCAGCCTACAACCTATTAAGTGCCAGTGTTAAAAAATACGTTAAACCAGAAAGGTATCAACATTTATAAAATCATAAGTATCATATTTATCAAAGTCACGGCAGAGCAGGATGTCACTGAAATTCCAATGGTATTTACCTGCATTTAAGGCATAATTAGTCGAAATCTAAGTGTTCGTAAATATACTTCTCCTTGGTCTATCCAAAATAATTTCAAAATGAAGATAAAAACAATAAAACTGTCCACTTTCCAGAAGATATCAAACATCAACTTGAAGAAAACCTACAATAAAATGGTCACCACCTAACATAATCTAGAAAAATTGACCCAACAAGCGGAATTGCAGTAAGCAACAGAAAGCTCAACCCAATTTCAACCATGCTATAATAGACATACCATTTTTGGATTTTGGTAGGCAATTTTCCCGCATACTGTACAAATGGCTCTCATCTTTTCCTCCCCATCCGGTATATCATATTTAGTTGGGCCTCCACACCACTGACAGAATTTTATCTTACGAACATTGCCCTACAAGATATTATAAACAAAAACTGTGAGAAATAAGGGCATATAGACAAATTAATATATTATATCAAGATTCTTAGTCTTAGGTTGACAAGATAGATTACATATAACCCAAAAAAAAAAAAAAAACCTCGGCCATTAATGTTATAAAAATATACATATTCTCTCATTCCTTGATTAAAGTGATTTGTTTGCTACCATCTTTTATACAATAATCAGCCAAGGCTACCTCTACCAGTGAGAATTCCAGTATTAATGCTTAGTCCAAAATCAATATTTACCATCAAATGAGAAGCATGGATCTTTTCAAAATTGTCCACAACATCAACCAATTTCACAAACACTTCAAAAGTGACAAAAACTCACCATGCAATGAACAACAACCTAGGGTAGTTATATCCCACATGCCTAAAATCCAATTCATACACGTTATGAATATTATCCCACAATGGATCAGATAAACACTATCCATGCAGATGAGAAGTTGTTAAATAAAAACAAGAAGAATTTTTCTTGCCATCTTCTTGGGATTTCATATCCCACAAGTTTCCCTGCTACTAAGTTGTAGGGCTGGAATTAGCCCTTCATTTAAAACTTGGTGAACACAGGGATGAGAAAGGTCAAGGGATTTCGAGGTATAAAAATATTAAAAATTTCAATCTGTCTTACTATAGGCTAGAAAAGAACAGGAACACTTAAAAAATATTCATGATACTGAGTTGCATTTAGGAAGTAAAACAATAAGACCTTTAGTAACAAACCTAAACCAAAAACACAGTTCACATTTCACTAACTTCATACTATTCATAAACCCAAATCCGAATTACCTAGTAGTACAATTCAAGAGTCGGCAAGCTGAAAGGTCAAAAGTTCAACTGAGCTTGCAGGGAAACACCTACAAATAGAGTGTCCAAACTCCATCAAAAGCTTCTATTTTCACCTAAAGTGACTCAAAATAACATCTCAAAGCAATAAGCAACTCTATTCTTCATAATCATTTAGCATAACTGAATCAAAAGCCTCTATTTTCACCCATAGTGACTCAAAATAACACATCTCAAAGCAATAAGCAACTCTACTCTTCATAATCATTATGCAAAAACAAATGTTTTCTATATATAGTCTCTAAAAGTCCAATCACGTTCCATCGCAAACCATTAAAACTAAAAATTTTCCATAATTCATAATAAAGATACAATCATTATGCATAAACAAATAATCCCCATGTTCTATCACAAACCCACCAAACACAAAATCACAAAATTCCAAGAAAAAAAAAGACTTATCTTGAAACTAAAAATTAAATATTACACCAAATTCAGAATTACAAAATAATCCAAATCAAACCCATCAAAGTAAAGAACATAAACTACCAGAAAGAACTCACAGCAGACTGAACAGCAACTTGAGAAGAAGAAACAGCATCCAGGTTGGACTCAGACTTAGACCCAGTTGCATAAACTCGATTGGCTCTAAAACAACGAGTTCCTCGAGGCGAAAACGGTGTCGTAGAAATCCTTGTTCTTGCACCAGCTGAAGAAGAAAACGCCAATGGGCTATGTCCTTTTCTCCAAATTTGTGAAACGAACCCGGATGAAGAAGAACCAAGAATCTGTATGGCTTTAAGCATAGCTACTTGAAAATTGAAAAAATGGAATCTTTACAATAATTGATTTGGAAGGGAGACAAAAAGAGTGTTATGTTTGAAGGATGATGATTGGGTCGTTGTGGAGACAAAGCTAATGAGTTGTTGAAAGTGTTTTCTTAAACGATGAAAAGAAAAAATGGAAATAGTTAAAAAAAGAAAAAAATTTGGGATAGAGAAATTACATTAAATGTCCCTAATTGAGGGAATGGAAAAATAGCAAACTAAAAAAAAAAAATTCTCTCACTACATACCTCTTCTACATATTTTAAGTCACAATTTGGACGAAATTGTCTCTTTGTTCTCCAATTAACACTTAGCCTGGCACTTATTTTCTCTTTTCTCAAATTTTTCTGTTCTTAACAAGTTCTCACATCATCCAATATTATTGAAGCTTTATTTTCTTGGGAAGAAGACATCATTTTACTAATTTGTTGACTTTTTCGTCCATTAGAAACCACAACCCAATAGGTATGTTTTTTATGGTTTAAAATATTTGGTAGATTAGTATATAACTGAAAATTTCTTATAGATTTGATTTTATATACTTTATATAAGTTGCGTTGGATATATGTATGCTTGTTATGTTAATTTGTCAGTAAGAATCTATATAAAATAGTTCAGATTGTGAATTTGGAGTAGTTTCAACCAAGTTTACGCTAGAGGTAGAAGACAACTAATGTCAGATACTTGATATTTAGGCACTATCAGGCATACATTTTTAGCAACTTAATAAGTGCCTGATAATAAGGTATAGGGCACATTTGAAATAGAAACACTGACAAAGTGGATCGGGTGATATCGAGCTATGTCAGGTTTTATGGGTTTTAAAATAATGCCTAATCGATATGTATCAGGTGATATCGAGCATTGTCAGGTTGAATTGGTACTTTTTTATTTTGTGTTCTGAATTCTAAAAATTGTTTATACTTATGCATATATAACATCTTATATTAACTTGGCAAGAACAATAGATGTTATTCGGGTTTTTGTGAAATACAGAGGGTGTTTAGAGTCAGAGTTCGATAGCTTAGTACAAAAAGTACAAGAGAAAGTTTTTCCTTGAAGATTGCAATGTATAAACGATTTACACTTTATTGAGTATGTTTTTTAGCTTATAATGTATTGATTACTTACACTTTAACCATACATCAGCGGGGTGACTAATGTTTTGTAGCTTGTACTCTGAATGTATTTTTCCATATAATGATCAGTATCTATAACATTGTAAACCAACAAGGCATGATAATTGGTATAATTCTAAATTCCCGGTTTGAAAGAATTAATACCTATAGTTATAATGAACCATACCATTGAAAAGCATTGCACAATCTAATCAGAAGCACGATTTGCCAATAAACTTGTCTAAACACACATACAAAAACAAATATTATCATTAAACTTTAATAAAAGCACGTACAGTTACATGGTTTATTAATTTACTACTCTTTGTTTTTAAACCCGAACTAGACTGGTTGGTCGGATCAGTCAGACCGGGACACAGTTGCTTCTCCGGTCCAGTTCAGGTTTCAGGGGGTTTTTGTAATATTTTAAATTTATAGGGACTCACTTATATTTTTTAAGGGTGTTTTGGACATATGTCAAAATTTTAGGGATCCATTGGTAATTTTTAGGATATTTTTGAAATAAATAAAAAATTTAGGGACTAATTGAAAAATTTTAGGGGTATTTTTATAATATACTAAAATTTAAGGGATTAATAATAATTTTTTAAAAATAAAATTATTGCTAACATCACTGGTCCAACCAGTTGGACCGGTTGACCCATGACCTGGGTAGCAAAATGAGTTGCCCTTCGATCCGGGTTTTAAAACAGTACTATAAAAGCATTTCTCTATAGAAAATAGAATGTTCAATACGTCTCCTAACTGTGTATCCATCATGTCTCTCAATATAGGAAAGCGAGATGTTCTACATAAGGTACTTTATAATTATAAACTTAAACATAAATGTGCTACAATCATTAAACTATGTATCTTGTTATAGTATGAACATGTAACCTCTTCACCTGAAATTTTTCCATTTCTAAATCATAATTCAAGTATTTTTCAAAGTAACCGATCTTCTTCAACAAGTAAAGGCTGATAATTTGCAACCGTTGGTAACATATGCTTTGTAGTGTTCCACATATTCTGATGTTATGAAAATATTCTTAATAATTATCATTTTACCCCTTACAAAGTAGCAATTATGTTTTTAATCACATGAAAAAAATATAATAACATATATGTTGGAATAAAAAATAAAAAAACAAAAACAAAAACAAAAAAAACACTCAGTTTCACACAGGCAATAAAGTGCCAAAACCACTCGAAACCACCCAATACTCCAATCAAGTCATTACTTGCATGTCCTAAGCAACCCAGTCACCACTATTTGTTAATTTATAAAGTGCTTGAATGTGTCCTAAACCACTCAATACTCCTATCAGGTTATTTTCGTAATTTCACTACGGTGCCAGACAGGATCATATTGGAAGTTATCGGGCTAAATTTAGAATTCTAAGTGTCTGATACCTTGTGATATCACCATATGGGGGCTTTTGTCACCATTTCAAATATTTGCCTAATTAAGTAATCGTGCCCAATAAAGGGCTATCGGGCGAAATTTGAAGTCCGTTTTGTGATTTTTTGTGACTTCCTATCACTTCCATATATCAGTTTCTTCCAACAAAACAACAAAATCACCTCTAGACAAACACCCAATCACAATAATCAAGCAATAAACCATCAAACAAACATTCAAGAATCATAAATTGCCCAAATCTACGTCTAACATAATCTTAACCTAAACTCTAACAACAATCTATCATAAAGATTAGACATTGGTCAAACATAATTTTTTTTTATTATTTACTTTCCATTCAAGATTTCGAGATACAATGTTTTATCACTTAATCATTGAAAAACTTTGTTATATAAAATTTGTATCATGAAACTCCTTAAAAATTATAATAATCTCTTACATCATCATGAAATAATAAATAAATAAAATCCCTTAAAATATCAGAAAACTCCCTAAAAATATATCAAAAAAAAAAAAAAACCTCTTACATAGTGAGATTTTTATGCTGTTTAGATTTAGCCATCTCCAAAACCAATGAAACTAACCCCCGAATTAAGATAAAACGTTTTCCATTTTAGTTTCATGGGTTTAATTTTTTATTAGACCCAATCAANTGGAGGGGATATAGGAGGTGATGACATATCAGGAGAAGGGACATGCTCAGAAGACTTAGATGGATCAGGTGGCATAAGGTAATTGTCAGGTGGAGAAGTCTGGTGTGGTGCATCAATTGGTAAAAATTTGTAAGATAACTCAAAATCCTCAGGATGTGCAGGTGAAAAGGAATGATAAGGAGGCAAAGCTGCTGAAGAAGATTGAGAAAGAATGGGAAAACATGCTCAACAAACTTCATATCTCTACTTACAAAAAACATGTAAGTTTCCAAATTCAGCAGCCTATATCCCTTTTGAGTTGCTGAGTATCCCATGAAAATTGATGGAATAGTTTTCTTGGCAAATTTATCTATTGAAGTAAAATGAATTGCATAACTAAGGCAACCAAATACCCGAAGATGAGCAATTGGTAGTGGTGTTCCATGCAATATTTCATAAGGAGACTTGTTGCCTAAAACAGGAGATGATAACCTGTTCACCAAATAACAGGCAGTGAGAATGCAGTCACCCCAGTATTGAAGTGGAATTCCAGCTTGGATTTTCAAATATCTATCTACATCCAACAGGTGCCTGTGTTTGCGTTTTGCCACCCCAATCTGTTGAGGGGTGTAGACGCAAGAGCTTTGATGAATGATGCCCAAGGATGTAAACAACTTAGTGCAAGCAGTGTTAAAAAATTCTCCCCTATTATCTGATCGAATGACTTTGATAGAAGCAGAAAAATGATTTTGGACTAGCAAACGAAATTCTCGAAGATGGAGTATAGTTTCTTACTTATGTTTCATTAAGAAAACCCAAGTGATCCTTGTATGATCATCTACTATAGTGAGAAAGAACTTACGATAATCAACAGTGGGGTGAGCATAAGGGCCTCAAACATCCATATGCAATAAATCAAAAGGATGAGATGCTCTAGTATGACTTGAAGTAAATGGCAATCTGACTTGTTTAGCTAAGGGCATATTCTGCAATCTGCCACACATTTTATATCACTCTGAGTAAGCTTTATTGAAGGAAAATATTTCAATTTGAGAATAGGCACATGACCAAGCCATTTATGCCACAATTCAATAGAAGATGAACAACAATTATTATATAAAGTAGGAAGATCTTCATGCACTGTGGAAACTTGAGAAACCTTAGGAACAGTAGAGAGATGTTGAGGCATAGTTGGTGCTGCATGGTGTTTAAAAGGCAGTAAAAAGTATAAACCTTCAGTTTCTCTACCAATCCCCTTTACCTTCCCACTGAAGAGGTTCTGAAGTATACAAAAGTAAGGAAAAAAAGAGATGAAACAAGACAAATCTCTTGTCATCTTTGCAACTGAAATCAAGTTGAATTTGAAATCATGAATATAGAGAACATTGGTGAGTTTTTGGTCAGAAGCAAAATAATGTGATCCAATATGAGAAACTTTAGACACATGACCATTAGGCAATCGAACTGATATAGAAATAGGTGAAGATACTAAATCTGATAATAGATCAATACAAAGGGACATATAATGACTAGCCCCTATGTCTAGAATCCAGGATTGTTTTTCACCTAGTGAAGATATAAAACATTTTATACCTGCCATGTTCACCATTCCATCTGCTGTAGAAGTAGTTGAGTCCTTATTCAAGAGTTTGAGGATCTCTTCATATTGTTCCTTAGAGAATACTGGAGCAGCAGATCCTGAACTGTTAGGCTCAGCATGATTAGTAGATGAAGCCGAAACATTATTGACTGAAGATTGAGTTCCTGCGAATTTTTTTTTTTGGTAAACTTAAAGTCAAGAGGATAGCCAATAAGCCTATAACAATTTTCCTTCTTATGACCTCTCACATTGCAGTGCTCACAGGTAATATTCCAGTTTTTCTTTCCCTTGGACTGTTGTTGTGTGATGATGATGAGTATAAGACAGTGGATTCCAAGGAAGACTCTGATGCGATAGATCCTACTATGCTCCTTTGACTTTCTTCTGTCACAAGCATGGAATAAGCTTAGTTAATACTAGGCAGTGGATTCATCATCACGATCTGTCCTCTTGCTTGCACATATGTCTCATTCAGTCCCATGAGAAACTACAGAAGTTTTTGATTCTGCATATGTTCCACATAAGTCTTTGACATCTCACATTCACATGTAGGTAGCTGTATGATAGATCCATATTCATCCCATAAAAGTTTGAGTTTAGTATAATAAGTGGATATAGTTGAAGTTCCTTGTGTTAAAGTAACAATGTTTCGGTGCAATTGAAAAATCCTTGAACCATTGATTTTGTCAAATCTCTCCTTTAAATCTTGTCATACCATGTGTGAATTAGAAGCATAGATTATACGACTCAGCAATTCTTTACTTACAGAGTTCATAATCCAAGAGAGCACAATGGCATTGCATCTGTCCCACTGTTGTTGCAAGTTAAGTGAAATTGTGTCTCTTTTACAAGTTCCATCAATAAAACCTATCTTGTTCTTAGCAAGCAATGCAATTTTCATTGATCGAATAGTGAGTAATTTTCTATTCCAATGAGTTGAAAAGAAACTAAGATAGAACCTGGAGTATCCGAGGGGTGCAAGTACAAGGGATGATTGAAGTCCACTGTTGATGAACTTTGATTATTCTGAGATCCAGTTCCAGTTGAGATGTTGTCATTTCCTTCAGTTGCCATTAATGTTTTATAAAGATCTCAGATGAAATGTTGTATTCGAAGCAACCGAATTTGCTCAATAGTTTGAGTGAGGAAAAACAAACTGAAAGAATTGAAAGATTTGACAAAATAGAACTGAAATTTAATAGTAGATTAGCACTAGATCTGGTGAAAAAAATCTGATGATTAAACAAGAATTTTAAGCCTTAGATCAAGGCTCTGATACCATGTTAAGAAAATGTATTTGGAAGAACTGAAAACAAATGAAAAGAAAAGAAATACTCTCTTCTCATTAATCCAACGTTTACATCAATATACATATATATACAACTTGTAAAATAACCATCTAACTAACTCTAACTAAAAAGCTAACAAACTTTAACTAAAACTTCCAGCTCGGCACTCAGCATAACTAACTTTCACAGCTCAGCTTCTCCTCTGTCAACTTGCTTCTTAACAAACTCAACATTTTTGTGTTTATTTGGATTCCCATGTCAAGTTTATAAATTATACTTGGCCATACATGGGATGGGGTTTGCCAAGAGTTTACATACTTTTGTAGGCTATTTCCTATAAAGTTTTTGGGATTAATGGTTGCTTAATAAACATCTTTTGGCTTTTCAATATGTTATTTATTACTGTTATGTTATAGTCACAGGTTGCCTGGTTTTTATATAGTTTGTTTCATTGACATGTCCAACTTTTTATTGTTGCTTTGACTCGTTTGCTTCTCCTATGAATAAAGGCTTTACATCTTTGTCAAGAAAGACTTCATCTGGGCACTATATAGTTGTACAAGTTGTATTGCTTCTATACAGTTTTTTAATGTCTCAATGTGCTTTCTTCTGTCTGTGTATGTCTGTCCTACCTAGTTTTTTCCAGAAACTTTGTCTCGTTTAGTTGTACTATTTACCCCTTCTCATGTACATTCTTTTGGTTAGTATAAAGCAGACGAATCGTTCTCCTTATATGTTGACTTCCACAAATTACGATTCAACTTTTTGCATTATGCATTTTAATCAATTTGAAGCATTTGCTAATTGTCTGGTAAAAATGCTTGGTTGCAGTGGGCCCTAATGACACTACTTGATCCATGACGCACTTTGGCTTATTTAATATACATTGGATATCGTGGTGGTGCTGCTAAAGTGTTTCATGTTACTAGGAGAAAATTAGCCGATCGTGAGGAGCAAGTAACTGAAAGAAATGTCTTTCGCTGCTTTGTTTTTGGCTCTAAAAATGCTGGAAAGTCTACACTGTTGGATTCATTTTTGGGAAGGTGTTGACTAGCATAGTTAGCTATTGATCTTGCTAATTCGTACATTACTTTTCATCTAGTTTTTATTTCTTGACTGTAGAGTCTACTCATTTTGACTTTCCATTTTACTCTTCTTTTTGTCTAAGGACTTATATTTTAGTGTCTCGAATTCGATTACAGGCTGTTGCTACGTGATTTTAACACCAATGAACCATACGTGGGAAATACTGAGCTGACTCAAAAGACACAAGTGTATGGGTATATTGAATGGAATATAAGATGAAGAACATTTAAAGTGGTTCAGATGCTTAAGTAAGCGAATCCTACGTCCACTGGTATTGTATTAATATATGAGGTCAGGTCGTGTTCAGCAAGCTGAATTATAAGTCATTACAAGAGAGAGAGAGAGAGAGAAAAAGAGAAAGAGAAATTAGCTAATCCCACAAACAAGAGAGGAGCCCTCTATTTATAGTGGGATGAATTGAGGTAATGATTACTGAATCTGTGAGTGGGTTAGATTGTCGTGCAGATCCTTCTTTATGTCCCGTTACTCACTTGTTCGAGTGATTTCCTTAACTTATGCAGGGTTTGGATATGTGGAACCTCTCTAGCCATTTGCCAGCCTGACGCACACCTAGTGCACTAGCAGGAGCATGCCGCTTACGTCAATATGCAACGTAGATGTGTTTGAATGGCTGCAAAGCCTACCTATACTCTGACCGCCCATGCTGACAAGGCATGACGTCAGCACTACTTTTTCAAGCATAACAGAAGCCCCCTAGTTTTTAAGGTTTGAGAATCAAACCTTGAAGACTACACAATTATGCCTTGATTTGAAATGCGTCGAATGGACACTAGTCGATCCGACCTTGTTACAAAGGTTAAAGAAACATTCCAACGCAGGCGACCTGAAATGACCTTCTTAAGGGTCCGCGACCTGTTCTAGATCCTATCCAGTGCCATAACGATGATTATGGTTTTCAACCGAGGTTATCGACTGAGGCCATCGACCTGATTACACTGGGCAAATTCTTTGTTGAAAGAAAAAGTCACGTCACTCCGCCACTGACACGACGAGGACAAAAAGTCATGTCGCTTCGCGACTGACACGACAAAGAGTGTTTTAATGTAACAACCTCTTTAGGTGTTATCCGTTGCACTTTTGTAGAGAATGCATTAAATGAAATATCTTTTGCTCTGAAAGACGTGTCTTATGTGCAATAAGTGCTAGCCATGCACATTAAATGCGAGTCATGCTGAAATGAGATTCCCTATCAGAACATTAAATGCGGAAGTGGGTGCATTTAATGTGGAAGAGGGAAAACATGTCGTCGCTTGGGTGTTTCAACAGAAACAAACGACGATTTGGTTTCTCGAAGTGTGATGGTCACTCTTCTTCGTTGATCTGCGATAAATGGTCGCGATCAACGATGAGATGCATTTTTCGCCCAAACGCCGTTTGACTTCAGGAAAGCAAAGCGCCACTTCCTTCACTATAAAACCCCAAGTTCACTTCAGGTAACGTCACAATACTCATCTTCTCAGAGAGAGCAAGAAACTTTCGCGAGCCTTGGTTCTTTGTCTATCAGACTGGTGCGCACTTGACATTCAGAGTAGGAGGATTATTCTTCTCATTTCAATAGGTAACGATGGTTCCTCTGCCACTTTTTATTATTATTTCTTGCTTTCGATAGTTGCCATGCGATGACAGTCTACCAGTAGTTGATCGGAGATGAAATATTCTCCTTGGGTTTGAGCTATTGATGGTGGCTCTAAAACATTCTTTTAGGGTTTTTCTAGGGTTTAAGGGAGGAAGTATTTACTTTTCCTTCACGTCATCGTACGAAACAGTGTACGAGGACCGAGTGATTTCCTACATGTCATTTTTTTTTTAGACTGTTGAAGAATGAACCCATCAACGACCCGGACAGATAAGGGAGACAACTTGCCAGTGTAGGATGCCCCAGTGGGTCCCTCCCAGGAGATCTTGTCAGCAATTACTACTGAGGATATTCAGAAGGTGGTAGACCAGTACGCCCTCAGCGTAGAGGTCTTCCAGCATAGGTCATACACAGCTTGGAATCCGTCAGAAAGGATGGCTGCGATTTTCGAGAACATTTTTAAGAGTGAGAGGTTGATCCTTTTCAACCCTTTTGTCAAGTCGGTCCTCGATCACTTTGGGATCGCACCGCTGCAGCTCACGCCAAATGTGTATATAATAGTCGTGGCTATGTATATCATATACGATGAAAACGGATTAGGCGAGCTAACCGTGCTAGAGCTCGGTTGCTCGTACATCCTAAAGAAGAGTAAAGACAAGGATTCCTATTACCTCTCCAAGTGACCTACCATCGAAGCGGGAATACATAGTTACCTGAGCAACGTAAGGGCATATGAGACGAAGTTCTTTTTCTTTCGATATGATGGCATTTGCCAATTCCGGGAACCGAGTAGGTTATTTTTGTTTGAGTTCACGAACTTATTTTTTATCTTTGCTAACGAGCTCTCTGTTTCTTCGCAGTTAACAAGACAACTTAGTTATCGCTCCTCGAGGATCCAGACAGGATCACTACCATTGACTTTCTGCCTGAAGAAAATCGCGACGCAAGACTACTCATGACAACCACAAATTGTGGAAGTATGGTTTTCTCAACTCCAAAACGACCCTAGAGACCACATCGAGTAAGTACCATAACTTTAGCCCGTTTCTTTTCTTTGCATGTATTGAACTATTTTGCTAACGATGTCTACATGCAACGACCATGCCTTCTAAAGTGCCCAAATCACCGCGACCAAGGCAGTTCAACTTACCCCGCATGGGCGTCATCGGACCGGCTGGAGTCGCTCCCAGCGGTCCCCTTGTCAAAGGGACACCGACAGGTGCTCCGGTCTGACCTGTAGGTGCTCTCCAACCTTCAGCTGTTCACCCGAAGCACAAGACGATGGCTCAAAAGTCCAAGAAGCGAAAGCAACTTCGGGCTGAAGAGTCAGAGTCTGAGACGGAAGGCCTAGGCGTTCAGCCCGAGAGGTCGTAGCCTTACCAAGCATTCAGCTCAGGAGGACCTCCCAGGGGCACGATCGGTATTTCTATCACCCCGAAGGGTTCGTGGACGAGGCAAAAGGAGGCTGCGAGTCTCGGGGGGTTGGCCAAGGAGCCAGCGGAGGGAATGCTACCTACAGCTTGTATAGGCACGCCTGTGCTGGACTCGATGGGGCAACTTCTAGACCATTTACAGCCGGTAGTTTTCACCCTACTGGAATGCGGGCTCGCGGAGGCGTTTGAGCAGTTCGTGGCTGCTAACCCTATGGACTTGATGTCCACATCCTTTCAGCACCTGAGCCAGGTAGAACGAGTTGTCCTCGGTGAGGACTTTACATTTGCTTTTAGTAGAAAGGAAACTAACTTTTTATTCTCTTCATTACACAGGCCCTGCTCTCCATGCACTTGTCCCTGTAGAAGATTTAGTTGGGGGCTACCGAGGGGCTGGTCGAGTTGAGAGAAGAGAACATGCGGCTTAAGCAGGATTTAGAAGCCTCTCAAGTAGAGAGAGATTCATCCACCATTCAGGCGAATCAATACCTGTCTGAAAGGAATGCTGCTCTTCGCACGGTGGACTTTTAGAAGGCTAAGCTAGAGAAGTGAGGAGAGGAACTAAAGGAGCTCCAGAGGACAGTGGCCAGACTCACCAAAGAGGTTAGCGAGAAAGAAAATGAGCTACAAACGAACTCTAAGTAGGCCTTGCTAACAGAGAGGGAATGGGCGAAACTGTGGGAGATCACCGAGAAGCAGAGGTCGACACTTGAGGCCAAACTCCATTTCACCCAAGGTCGGGTCACTTCGATGACTGCGGAGATGTAGTAGCAAGAATTAGACATAAAGAGGAAAGCTGCCGAGTGGATAATCCAGTCCATCTATGCCCTTTGGCCAAAAAACCTTACCATGGACCTGACCAACCTCCCCAAAGAGTACCGAGATGCCCTCGACGCTATGGCGCGGGCCGAGGATGAGAAGGCAACTCAAGGACCAACCCTGGAAGAGGAGCATCTGGAGTACGTCCCAGAGGAGCCCCCACCTAAGCAAAAGGTCAGTGACTAGCCTGAAGACAACGAGGCTGCGCCTTCGACACCTGGGGATGAAGACCAGTGATTTCTTATTATTGAATCGCCTCCCCTTTGCTCGCTTATATGTACTTTTTTAATTTTTATTAATGAATAAAGATTTCGCTTTCTTAATCTTGTGAGTACTTACAATTTTTTGTATCCCACAATCGTTGTACATAAGGTCGCGTTCTAACTGTTTACAATAACATTCGTATAATGTCTATTCGAACAGAGTTATATACACACGAAAAAAAGCGATTACAAAAGAACTTGTATTATTTACAAAGCTAAAAAAGTAAAATATTTACTGATAATATAGTCAAAGATGTTCACCATTCCAAGCTCGAGGTACTTTGGAACCGTTTAGCCTTTTGAGGTGATAAGTCCCCAGTCTTATCACTTTGGCAATATGGTACGGGCCTTTCTAATTCGGCCCCAAAACTCTAACGCTTGGTTCTCTTATACCGAGAAGGACTTCTTTTAGAACGAGGTCACCCACCTGGAAATCTCTTCTTCTAACCTTATAATCAAAGAACTTTTTCGTGCGTTGCTGATAAGCTACTATTCTCAACTGAGCCTTGCTGTGATGTTCTTCGACTAAATCCAGACTTGCGCATATAAGCGCCTCGTTGTCTGTTTCATTGAACAGGTCTCTCCAAAGTGAACCGGTTCTTACCTCCACAAGGATCATCACCTCGCAGCTGTATGCTAGCGAGAAGGGAGTTTCTAAGGTAGAGGTTCTCGGAGTTGTCATGTATGCCTATAGGACTTCAGGGAGATTATTGGTCGAATTTCCCTTGGCTGCACCAAGTTTGGCCTTCAGAGTGTGCTTGATGGTTTTGTTGATGGCTTTAACCTGACCATTTGCTTGCGCTCTCGCGACTGAGGCAAATTTCTTATGGATACATAGCTCGTTGCAA